TACACATTACAGACTTTTGTTACTTGACATCTGGGGGGGGGTGTTAAGTAACAATAGTCTGTAATGTGTATAGGGATTGGACATGTTGGGGGGGGGTACCCCTCGGTCTCATTTCTTGCTGGGTATATGCCTTCATGCATAACCACTCAAGTCAAATATTTGGGAACATGTTACGTTCCCCAGGGCTGCTGCTTTCTCAACAGCAGATACTCGACGCAAATCGAGATCAAACCATCCCAAGTTGTAGTATCTGCCAACATTCTTGTAATGCGCCTCAATCCGTCGGCTGCAGTCTTCGCGCCTATCACCATCAGGCGAGCACCACGTGTCAAGGTGGTTGAAAGACACACCCCTTTCTGCCAGAAATTCAAACAGCTGAAGGTTTGTGGCATTTTCAAACTGTTTACAAGCAGAAGGCGGCTTGGCAACGTGCTGCTTGGCGACACAATATCCCTGAAGCAACGGATTCGGAGACTTTAAGAAGTGCCTTCCTGCATGCACAGTGACGCGAACTTCTGGAACGGTCTCATTGGGTTTGATTTCGAAACCGGGTTCAAGGTGCTGGGAGTTGTAGGCTTCCAGGTTGTTGTTGACGTCCAGGTGCCAATCATAGCGATCATGCTCAAAGTAGAAAGCGTAGTTCAACAAAATGTTGACAGGACTGACCCTAGCCCTCTTTACCTTTAGTTTTCTAAAAGCGTCCTCAAAGTTAGATACCTGTAAGTGAAATTCGTGTGATTGATTTTTAACGATTTCCTCCTTGGCAATGCAACACGTACACGTATCCCCTGGTAAATCACCGATTAAGTATTGTAAACAGTTTTGAATCTAGATTTTTTTCGTTTCATGAGGGTGGGGTCGGGTGTGAACTCGAACCATCCGCCAAATAGCAGACGGTGCTCGACCTCCCAGACATTCCGTTGCCCCATAGCAGAAAGGCATGTACCACAAGCTATTTTGTAGCTGGTAGTCTAAGACTTATCTTCGTTTTCCTGAAAGTAATAAAAAAAAATCAAGGGATGTTCAAGCACCCTCCCCCCGGAACCGCTGCTGGTGATAAAATAAACATGAATTTCAAAGTATTTGATTTGCCTCATGAAAAAAAAAACCTTTCTTGAGTGAAAGTTTAAAAAGAGTAGAAAGAAAAGAGCACTCTCTGGACTTTCTGGATTTTCATCAAATTGGCTATGATAATTCAAGATTAGATTTTTTGATTACAAAATAAATACAATATCCATCTCATTGGGGGAGACTGCAACCCGTATCAGCATTGCCATGACTCAAGTCAATGACTGGACTCAAGTCCGACTGGGTAAATGACTCGACTGACACGAGTTACTGCAAGCAAATGACTCGACTCAAATCCCCAATAAAAAAACCGACTCGATCGAAAGTAAACAAAACTCGAGTCCCAAAGCCAAAAAATAAAGCGTCTTTTTTGGAAACGATGTTCGCAAAGAATTTTTTTATAATGTCCACGTCATGTGTTATTATCATAAAGTGTAAAATATGTTGTGACTACATGTAGAAATCCAGCAGTAAAGTTAAAAATACCAAAAAGAGACTTTGCCTTTTTTTTATATCGCGTTCAAATTTTGATGACTCCAATTGATTTCAGCTATATACCCGATCCGGTTTGACGAGACATTTTGCCTTTTGACTGTGCTCGACTCAAGTCACTGCGTTACAATGACTCAACTTGACTCGAATCACTATGTTGAAGTGACTCGACTCGATCCGACTCACCTAAGTTAGTGACTTGTTAGAGCTCTGACCCCCATTGTTATGAGCATGGAGAGCTGTGTTATCCCAATTACCAACAACTGCGTTCGGCTTAAAGGTTGTTGATTGTGTGGCAAAAGTGAGAAATAAAATGAGGTTCCATTGTTCACTTACGTTCATGTATCCAAGAATATGTTCCCTGCAATTCCTTATGGTATCTCTCCAGATATAAACGGGAAAATAAGTCATGAAATCAGCCACCAGAGTCTTCCCCATAGCACGTTTTGTTGTTCTGTCCCATCCATGTCTACGGGGAATGTCCCAGTTAGTGAAAGTTACGACACGCAACTGATCGTCGTTGAATATATTTTCAGTAGTGACAGGTGTCGTAAACATGCCGTCTGTGTCAATCCAAGCGATAATGGACGCGTTGATGTACAGATCCATGAAGAAACTGCTCCATAGTTGGCGGCTGTATCCTCGATCCCTCTCTATTCTCAAGATTGAGATATCATTTGGGAAAGGTTCGTAAACAAAATCAAACTTGATGCCAAATCCAGGCTCTTGCTGGCTCAGACGAGCTGCCAAGCGATGATCGGCTTCTGATTCCTTGTCTAGTATTAGGCTGATGTGGCCCAGCTCCGGTGACCAGAACAACACGGCAGATCGTAAGAAGTCACAGTACAAGCGCTTGATCAGTTTAGGCACGGCCGCCATGCGTAATGTGAGCGTCAGTGTGTGGCCTTTAGTGGCGAGCAGATACGGATTATTTGAAGAGACAACCTGATGCTTTTGCCAAGGAAACCTTTCCCTGCTCAAATAAAAAGGAAGCATTGCTTCGTAAATTAGCATTAAGATCGTTAAGATCGCAAGCAATACATAAACCAACACCAGAGATTTAGTCATGCTCATAATCTCGATTTAGAGGTTGACCTAGCATACTCTCAAAGGAAACTGTGTGCAAACCACCAAACAACTAATGATAAGGCCAACGCTCTACGAGGAACTATCGTGACCAAAGTATTTCCATTCCAATTCCCTGGCTTGTAAAGTTTAAGAGCCACACATATTTCCTGGTTTGGGTTCCCGAGTCTACCGTCATATGTAACCTCGACCTCGTTGCTATGGAGTTCCGCTGTACTATGGAGACTATAGACATCAATCTGCTGGTATACGTTTAGTAGCTCTGTTGGACTGGTTTCTTAGTGATCTCTGCATCTCCAAGCGTCTTCAAGATGCCCAGATTTAGGGACTATAGTGCAAACGTTTTTACAGAAGTTGAAGAAATTAGACTTTTCGTAAAGGTTCTAATCGCACGTGGCTCTGAGGAATTTTATTAAAAGCAAGTTAAGTCTGACATTTCAACGGGGAAAGCGTCCACAGGGCATGAAGACTAGACTCCTTTCTCAAGAACCCTTTTCCCATTGGAAAGTACGTGGTGTATCCACGGACAATTCTGTAGGGAAAAACAAGAATTCAGCCGAAAGAATTCCTTCTTGCTAATGCTAATGACGAATTATGCGGGTAGATGCTCCTTGAATGCAAAGAGTGGTCAGCAGCTAATTGCTTTAGTAAAGTGAACACTAGTTGAGTTCCCATTACTTCTGGATTACATATGATCGGTGGTACATAGCTAAATGCCAGAAGACTTAATTCATTCCCAGAAATTTGTAAAGTCTGCGCATGCGCGAGCTCACGACAGCAGGGTTCCACATCAGTATAGCTTGCCCAGTGTTTAAAATTTATAAGGTCATACTTTTGTATACGTTTATAGGAAGTAAAATTGCAAATACATGTAGCCTACATGAAAGCTCAACTTATGACACTGAAAGTGAACAACTCGCTGAGTTTTAAGGCCAGTTTTAGTGGAAATAGACTTTGAGCTGTAAATTTGCAAATAGTGTGTATTGAGGGCGGTGTTTCAAAGTAAAACTTAGGGATGCACTGCGCTAAAATCAACAAAGTTCGGAGCCACATTGCCGGCAACCAAAGTCCCAAAGACCTCTCAAGCAAAACCAAAAAGAGAACGTTCCCAAGTCTTCCGAGCAGCCATTTTGTTAATGGCATCCCTCGACTTTCTAGGCTCTTCTGACAATTTTTTAGTGACATATTTGTCTTCTTTCCCTCAGATGGGAGCCCTTAAATCGAGAGAGTTAATCATCTGCCATACTTACACAATCCTGAAATTTCTTGGCCCACACAGACTCTTCTTTTGAAATAAACTGTAGGGGTACTTTTTAAGCGCCTGAGCCCGGCGGATAATTTTCCTGAAACTGGGACAGTGCGCCATTAAGGATTTTTAGATGACGAAAAGGTTTATGGTGTACATTCATGGGTAAAACTTGTTGCATTGGGGTTTTGCAATGTGCATAACGTTGACATAATGTTGACAGACCATGTGTATGTACATGTGTGAGAGTCATATTAAAGCATTATTATTATTATTATTATTATTAGAGGGCTGGACTTTTATAGTCTGTGTATCTTTGAGCCTTCCCTAGTCACTTTAACTGCTTGACTTAATGTAACTCATGTTGCTACTTCGGTGGCCAGATGTAGGATCCCACCGTACAAAATAATACACCAGGCTGATGTGGAGCTTTAAATTTTTTTGACGGACAAAAACATTGCCGGATCGTACCATGTCTGTGGAAGCGTGTGCCTTTTCGAATCTGTGTATTTCTATTGGCAGTTTCTTGTACGTCCATCAATATAATTATTTTTTGGTCATCGTTACACAGGTTAATACTAAAATACACTGAAAGAACAAGATGACAGGAGCTGAAAAAGTGAACCTAATCATTATTGCCACCAGGCACAACCCCAAACAACAACGAAAAAGACTGGGCATTACAAAAATACAATGCAAACCAAAAATACATCTATACATCTATCCACACCGGTAACCATCTATACAACATGTTAAAACCAAACCCAATAGGGAGAAGCAGTTAAGAACGAGATGTGTTTGTGGACAAACACAGAGCTGTTTGTTTTTCATTTGCCAGCTTTTTTATTTTTGGAAGGGAAAGTTTCCTCTGATTTGTCTGAAATTCTCACAGTAATTCCCAGGCGAACCACTGATAAAATCGATAAAAGTGCCAAATAAAAAAAAAGTATACAAAACCTACGGAGAAAGACTTCAACTTTGATCGTGTCACGTGACCCCTTGATGACGCCACCGTGACGAATTTATTGTCACAACCCCATGGGTTGATGAACTACGTATACTCCCAATACAAAGTCACTCAGAAAACCTATGGAGAAAAACTGCAGCTTTAAAGTCACGTCATGTGATTTGCGTGTTTATAAAAAAAATTAAATACTATTTAAATACTATTTGATATTTGCGTACATTTGTAACTGAACGAAAACGAAACCCCCCCCCCAAAATAGGATTTCTCTTTTGTTCTAATAGTAGGCCTAATCTTCAGCCGAAGGTCAGGACTACTTTCATCAAGATCGATAATATTGCGTAGTATAGAAAAACGTGTACAAAACCTACGGAGAAAAATTAAATATTCAAAATTCAAAAATAAATCACATGATGACGTTATCATGTCGTCATTATTTTAGTATCTTTTTAGCCTTAGGGTAGTTCCTTAGTGTAACTTTGATGAAGATCTAACATTGCTAAGTGACGAAAATGGTGCCTCGAATCTGTCTCCAAAGTCTATGGGAAAAATGGGATACTCAAAAATCAATAATAAAAAGCCCATTCGGTCATCATATTAAATTTCTTTCAGGACCCTCCATGGATAATGTTTTAGCATTGTGCCAAATGCAAAGTCAATCCGATTTATTATGGTACCAAAGTCGATTGGATGAAGAAATAGTCAGAAAAACAGAAGGGGGGGGGACTTTAACGAAAACAAAAGTTAAAATGGGGGGGGGGTGAACAGCGCAATATAAAATTCTATAAATGAATCATTCTACCAATACACTCCACAGGTTAAGATATTAGCCACGTTCGAAGCAAGTTAAAAGTTCGTTTGGAAAAAGTCAACTCGGAAATACTGCGCCAATCTAACGACTTACTTGGAAGTATACATTAATTACACCAAACTTAATGAACCTTTATTGCAAAGAAAAATAATGACAAATACATCTGTTACCAGCCCCTCATTTCCTTTACCAGTCTCTCATTTCCTGAGTAAATGTATTTTATGCTAAAATGTGCTCTGAATTATGTATTTTGCCTTATTTGAACAATGTACATCAAATTCTCTTAAAATCATATGACAATTGAGGTCCCCCCAACTTTTTTAGGTATACTTGTGACTTTTGGAAGATAGAGGGCGCTCTTCATCTTGTCTCATTGACATGTCT